ACGTATTCCCGAAAAATGAGACGTCGAAAGAAGAAAAAAAACAACAGACTTGTTAGTTGTCCGTCGAAATCGTACACTTTTCGGGTGTTGTTGTTGTTTTGTCTCTATCTCCCTCTTCTTTTCGATCCATTACTGTGCAAACGCATTGCTGCCCATTACGGGCACTGGCCCGGTATGAGTGTATGTGTTATTGCAATGCTAACTTTTTGCTGGCCTTTCATTTTATTTTCGTTAGCCGAAACGTTCGTGTCTGTCAATGACTTTTACGGAGGGTACGAGTGCTGTGAAACTTATCCATGCATGGATAGATTTGTCTCGTTTTTTTTCTTCTTCTTCTACACCAAACACATGTAAAGATACATTTCAGTGCGCCGCTCCGATGACACATGCAACTGAAACAGTTTCCAAAGAAAGTGATTCGTGCATTTACCGAAACCGTTTTACTCCTAATTTATCTCTTAAATCTTCACTTTGGATAATGCAGCTCTTAATTTGCGGCTGACTGTAGTCGGCTGCTTCAGAAGATGAATACGAAAAAAAACGCTCACACAGTGATACTTTTATTCAGACCATGTACAGTTTACAGTTCATTTAAAAGTGTCTAGGCCTTTGAGATAGGAGTTAATGAGCGCAATCGAAACCAAAAAACCAAAGTCGCCGTAAGTGTTAACGTCGAGAGAATTGCAAGAAACGTTTTTTTTCCTTTTTCTCAGTTCAAATATAGGTTCAATCGCCTTACGCAATATTTTCATCATCTACTTTTTGAGCGAGGTATGTTTTTTTTATTCTTCTTCGATACGTTTTAAACAGAATGAAATGTCTATTTACAAAAAAAACCCGGTTCAAAAGCCGCTGAATTGTTATCAGATCAAGGAGATTAATTTGATTGGGCGTTCTCGATTAAAATTTATTATTTATTTCATTTTCACCGGCACATCCACATTTCATGGGCGCAACCATACGTGCATTTACAAAATAAATAACCGTTTATCAAGGCGCACGAATCTCTAATAGGAAGTATTGTTTGCATTCATAGATTCCATACTCGTTTTTTTGTTGCTCTGTACATATGAAGGGGTCGCAAAAAACCATCTCGAATAATTTTCACAGAAATGATTGAATGGAGTTTATCGACGAAAAAAAACCGAACAACTCGATCCAAAATAGTCACATCGAATTTCGTCAATAAACTCCACGAGTGTCGGCATCAAACGATCGCTTATCAGCAAACGATGAAAAAGTGAAGAATCAAATTGAATAAGGCCATAAAATAAATATTCTGCGAAACATAACCGACAGCCCAAGCCGCATGAGCAGAAAGTCAATGGAACGAGGAAAAGGCAAAACTTTAAAACCGTTGTATATATATATATATATATATATATCGGTAGTGAGCACCCGATGGAGTGAAACTTCTGTATTTTGAATAATTCAGAAAATCGGATATGATTCTTTCTCTCTATTCACGGTATTGGGAAACGAATCGGATGAGAAAGGCAGCGTTCGACACCTCATGTAATTTTTCAAGCTATTCGACTTCAAAACAAGTTCTTTGATTCGTTCGCTCACAACATCGAGAGTCAACCGTGCGTATGGTTCTTCGTGCAGACCAATCGAAAAGTAAAAAAAAATTGCGCATATAACGTTGTCGAAGCAGTGAGCAATGAAAAGCGACCTACGGAATGAACAAAAAAAAAACCAAAACGCTGTATTCACAGAAGAAGAAAAGTACGAGCCACTTGTTAAACTATTAACGATGAATTGAGCACGTAATGCATAAATTTTATTTCATACCGACATTGTTTTCAGTGAAAATAAGAATTATGAACTCGTTATATCAAATTCAATGAGGAGCAACTTTATTCACGTCTTTTTGTTGTTCTCGCGCAAACCGTTCGATATTGTGATTTTTCCGTGTGATTTTCTTTGTTCATTCGTCGGTCTCCCTTTTTGCTGTACCGTTCCGCTCAGAATATAATGATTTTCACACATATTCTTCCCATTCTTTCGGACGTTTAATTTAACTATTTTTTTTTTGGATTCTTGGGAACTTTTTCATCCATCGTTCAAAATGTGCGCGAAGTGAAAGAATTTTTGTTTCCGCTGTACAAATATTTTGTTGAGCGACGGATCATTCTTTTTTCGGCTGTTCGCCATCAGAAACGAGGATTATTATTTGAAGTGATTGCGCAAATGTTTGTTTGGGCCGCTTCATGATGAATGTGATTTATGAGACACATTGGAATTTCGAAAAGCACATAAATTCAACGGTTTTTTGTTCGTTTCGGATGCTCCAGAAATGTCTTCCCTTCTCTGACTTATCATGCATGTGTCATTTCATTCGATAATCAGTTTCCACGTCGGGATGGCCGTTTTGGTGCGGAGGTTTTGGGGAGACCAAATGCGAATAACCACATCTAAACACACGATTTAAATAATTCAAATCAGAATGAATACGTGTCGATATATCGATATATTAGATAAAACAAAGTGATCTAGGCAAAGTCGTCTTCCCTCGCAATTGTTTCACTAGCTGGTGAAAACACAATACATATCTATGAATAATCTATGCATGATAAAACATGTAGCATAGAAGAAGATGGCACAATCGGTCACTTCGAATACCACAACCCACCGAACATGTGATGAGCAGGCAAATGGATTCTTTTCAATCGAGTCACGTTTCACACAGATGCCGTCGATTCGAATATTTACATTTGGACTTTTTCCGCTTTCGATACGTCCCCAAAAACGGAGACCATATCAAATGTGCCGATTTCATGTAAATTGTTCTATCATGGGAAGAAGATTTTGGATTTAAAGACAAAAACAGTGAAATCGAATATTTTCCATGAAATCATTCATTGACCAACCCATTTTTATTGCATAAAAGTCTTTTTACATAAAATTTTCCACAATTCAGTGCTATTAAGCGTTCAGATTGATCAAAAATGAATTTTGAATAGATTTATCTAGCAAAAAAGAATAAAACCACAGAAAAATTCGGACTGAATTTTAATGTTTTGATTATATGATATTAGAAATACTGTTTAGTTTGAATCAATCGAAGATTTGAAATCTCAAATTAAATATTGATCCGGGCTTCCAACTTATTATTAAATATTCAGTTCATTTCAAATGTAAAATCAAGCAATAAAGAGACCTAAATCAAAATCTAATTTCCTTCATCGCCGGTTTTGTTTTTACATACGCCGCAAAATCACTTGAATATCCCAAAAAAGTCGATACAACTGCTCCGATGCTCTTCAATCATATATGAATTGTTGACGATGGATGCAAAAGTGCACGGAGTGTGTTGCATGAAAGATTTATGTGGGAGTTAAATTGGTCTCGATGAATGTGAGAACATTGTGCGTGTTTATTGCAATTGAATTGTCGACTAGCATTGAATTGAATGCAACGCTGCTACAGGAAACTTGTATGTATCGTGAACTGTCTACCTCTCAACGGGTAATCGTTTCGATTTAGATCACGTCAGGCCAATAGAATATGATGTGGCCATGTGTTGCGAGGGATTTTTTTTTTCTTTCTGGAAATCATGTTTATTGAGTCGGTGCGACATAAACGAAAGGAAATCATAATGCAAATGTATTGGCCAAATAGTAGAATCCACAATAAACGTGTGTCGTAACTGTCGTATCACCCAAGAAATAAAGTTGGCTGGGCAAAAATAGTGATATGAACGCCAAAAAGCAAATCGTTTACACGAATAAAACTAAGACCGAGTGAGAGAAAGAAAAATAAAGTCGAAATCTAAGAATGAGCACCCAAAGTAAGAGCCCAACATACATTTATAATGCCGAAAGCGGCAAGCGATTTTCGCATGTTCTTGCACGGCTTTACGGTTAGAATGATTTTTTCGCCGGTGTTGTTTTTTGGATATATACCCGTAAGTCGATGCTTTAAAAATACTGTTGAAATGTTGTTTCGGTGTATTTTCTGCTGTCGCAGTCTGTGGCTCACAAAACACCAAAGCCTTTTCGATCGCGTAATATTTTTTTTTCTGTTCCTCTACTCTTTTCGTGTCTCCTTTTTGATAGTATGCGTTTTCATGCCGTACTGGTTTCGAGTCACTGTTACTGCTGCTGCTGCTGCTCTTCCTCTCTTTGCCGTAAACACAAGAAATATACTTTATTCATTCGCTTGGGTTATTTTTTTTTCTTCATTCCGTTCAGTCGTTGCTCCGACACATGGTTAGAAACGTGGCTTCGCCCGATCATCTCGCCGGTTTTTTGTACACCATGGCTTCACAGCGCTTTTCCAAATGCCGCACATTCAAAGCAATAATAAAATTGTAAATAATAATTTTATTGCAATTTAAATAATCGTGTGGTGTAATTTTCGTATGTGGCAAACACGAAGTACACATTGTTCAATTCGCTATCGTTGTAGTCGTTGGCGCGCGTATGTGCCTATATATGTGTGTGTATGTGTTTAGCAGTTGGCTGTTCGTTTAGTTGTTCTTATTGTTTTGCAAGTATTGCGTTTAGCATCGGGTATATATGTTTCGTGGAACAATCGGATCGAGTGCAGTAAGAAGAAGGCGTACAAAAAATGTAAATCGGAACGAATTTATGATTATTTATTACTTTGTTACAAGTTCATATTATTTTAGTTGATCCTTTTTTCCCGTTTTCGCTCCGGTTTGTGGGATTTTGTTATCTAGTCATTTTGGATTCAATGTCAATATTATAAATTATTTGTGGTGTTGGCCTTTTTCTGCTTTTTTTACCACATATATTTCATTTTATGAAGTTACCGAAATCATATCGACTCTTGTTGAATGTCGATGGAAACGGTCAAAAAAGCAATTCATCTTGTTGGATTCATCATCGATTTACCGACGGCATTCACTGCATTCACTGTACAACTTAATTCGAACTCATCGTCACTCGACAAAATCATTAATTTTCTTTCTGTCAAACTAGTAAGAGGAAAAGGGGAATAAAGGAAAAAATCGAACTGAATGGCATTCTCACCTGTTTAAATTGTGCAATCGATTGCAGGAAGGACACTTTTTGTTTTTGTTTTGTTTAAGCAACGTATTTTTATCGCGTTATCGCCACCGAAAACGATTACATCAAGTGTGGATTGCGGAGGAAGAGCACAAGTTCGACTCACTTTTCGACGGACAAAATAAAATTCATTGAAATATTAATAGTTTGTTTGGTTCTTTTATGTGGTAAGTGTGTGTTTTTTTTTCTCGTGTGTCGTTCGATGGATGTCGAAGCGCAAAAGTTTCGTTCGATTATTCGCAAAAATTCGTTTGATGCCAACGGCTAGCCAAGTGTAAACGAGCCAGCGCTGCTTAGATGTTTTCTTACTCTTTCGTTTTTTGGTTCCTTGATATTCCTTTTAACACGCTGAACAAATAGCATTTATCAAGCACATAAATCATCAAATATTACGCTCTCTGTTACAATAAATTATAAAATGTCCGCAAAGAAAATTCACAAGTCAATGCCATTTTGGAATTTCGTTTCAATGTTCGTTGTCTTTCCGGCGAAATGTATGCAATGTTTTATTTGAAATGCTATCGCATATCAGTCGCTGTAGTAAGTGTTAGTGTTACGTTCGATTTTTCTTTCTTTCTTCTATTCTATACGCTCTTGATAATTTTAACATGACACAATTTGCACGAGGGCGAAAGCAGCTTTAAAACACCATGTCCGTTTGTATGCTATAACATTGCTCTTTCCATCATTTTAAAAACGCTTTTTGCATTGTTCTTATTGTTCGTTGCGTATTGATTTTTGCGTTATCAAAGCATTGTGATGGCGCAAAATGTCAGATTTGATGGCGATTGTGTTGGATTCATCGTGGCAAAAGTGTGTTCGACTTTTACTTTGACGATGATTAGATGGTACATGAGTAACGACCAATACAAGAAACACATAACACTCCGATGGAGAGGCGAAATATATTTATAATTTTATTGATTTTCGTCTTGATTGTGGTGTGTTGTATGTATTTTGCGTATTTTTCGAAGTTCTTGAATTTGATTTGGATTCAATGCAGAGACCAAGAGAGAGAGAATGAGAGAGAGAGAGTGACTCGGCACAACAATGCCGTGTTTTTGTATACGGTTTGTCGGTTTTATTATATACTCGGGCCCGCTATTATATAGGGAATTTGGTATTTTTGCCGCTCTTTCGATTCAATTGCTGTACGAGAACGAGGGTAGAATAATCTTCTCTGACATTCTGCGTGTTTGTTTTCGCTCTATTATTTCAACTGCTGCTTGTGAATCATCGTTTCATTGCTCTCATGGTTTTCGTTCTCTCGCTCACACAATATTCGTATTTCGTATCGATTTTTATGCGTTAGCATGATTTAAAATGTCTTTCACACGCAATTTTACTCAACTTGAAATCTTCTCGAACAATTTTTCAGAAGATGAAAACAAATTCTTTGTCGTATTCAATGTCTTTTCGTTTATCGCTTTACTTATTTTAATTAGATTTGAAACCTCGATGTGATCAACCTTAAACGCTAGACTCAATCGTTTATCAATCAATTTTAGTATCAAAAATATAAATACAATTTTTTTTGTAGTCTAAAAGTAAGGAATTTGGGGAGAAAACTTTCTAAATTTACGATTAATCGACTGAATTTCTTTATTATTTACATTTCCGGGAAGAAATTATGGGAAAAAAATTGAAATGTTATTTACAAAAGTTTTGCTTTTGAGTTTACAAATTGTTTTGATTTTTTTAATTTTATGTTTTAGTTGCTATAACTGATTTCTTTGTCGTTTTCGTTTTTTTCAAAATTTAATCGCGCTTAAAGGTTATTGCTTTCAGAAAATAATTTTCCAATAAAAAAAAAACGTATCGAACTAAGCAGAAAAATCGGCAAACAAAAACAGTAAAGTCAATGAACGTTGAATTAATCTCTTCGTCAAATTATGTGCATTTTTCGTAATATATGCGAAACAAAATGATTAAAAAGCAATTTAATGTTTGTGAACTTTGTGAAACTTCACTCGCGGTTTTCGTTATTGATTTCAAGGCGAAAATAATTTTCAATTTGTCTGTTTTACACTTGTTATTTTTAATCTTTGTCTTTATTTCCTTAGATCACATGTGCACCTCATCGGCGAATCATTTGCGAATTGTTTCATTTTGCGACGACGTTTTTTTGATCGAACGAAGCACAGCGAATACATAAATCTGACTGAATGTATGGCCACACTATAAAAAGATTGAGAAATTCGGTGACGAGCGACAGTAAAATCGGCACGGTACAAATTGTGTTCGCACAGTTTTCACATGAAACGACCATCCAATGGATCATTTCAGATTGATACTAATGCACAAACACTTGCTGATAAAGCATGAAACCGACGTTTTTTGGCCGTCGATGCTGGCTGGCGAATAATACGACGATACGGCTATGTACGGATGTGCACACATCGTCTATATATTTCTGCAACTACAATGCTACCGCATCAGAATGCTTGGTGCTGCTGCTGTTGTTGTTTTAGTTACTCGAATGGTTTATGTGTTTGTATGAGAATTTATATGGAAAAATTTACTGCGTGCGCGCCACAAAATTGAATGAAGAATGAAGTGAGATGCTGCGCATAAATGATTTTTCACATAGATCCGAAGCACATAGAGCTAGTGAGCGGTGTAGTAAACAGTATTTTGTGTGTGTGTTTTTTTCCCTTCTGACTCACAACAACTGTACTCGGCCCGAGTGAGTCTCGTGTAAGTGTGTATCGAAAATACATTCGTCGAAAATCGGTAGATTGTTTTTCTATCATTTGTTCAACAGCGATTCATTGCTCGTCCATCGCTCATGGTGGAGAGTGAATTCGCCAACACAAACACACACTACTGATAACGAACGCAATTACGTTCTTAGATTGCACACACTTTACGGAATCGACTGTAAACAAAACAATGGAAGGGTCGTCGCCGTAAACGAGTGTGCGGAAAATGGGTGCCCCAAGTAAGACACACATCGTTCTACTGCAATCGAATCGAATCGAAATGTCGAGCGCTGCATATGCCGTGTGCGCTGTGCACTCTATGATTCCGTTATTGTTGTGAATAGAATTTGATGTTCAAAGCAAGTTTGTTACCCATAAAATATTTCATACTCTGATGTGTCGGCAAAGCGTAAACAATTCGACCTGACTAACGATTGCTTTTATCATGTGAAAATACATGTGGCGAAAAAGTTTTTACATCGGGTTTCAATGCTTAGGATGGCCTGAGCCGAGCGGTGCGTGTGTATGTGCCAACTAATGAATGTAAAAATTCAACAACAGTCGATAGCTGAAACTTCTCCTTTTCCCTTCGAAGACGACACAAGAGAAAATAAAAACAACAACCATACACATCCCTTCAAAGAGTGATGTGTTGGAACTGAACCATGAAACTCATTTATTTGCTGCAATCGCAGCCGATGTTATCTGTGTTGAAACAACGGAAAACGACTACAATTTTTCCCGTTTTCAAATTATCTGCGATAAAAACTTTTAGCATGTACTCAAGTGTTTACTCATTATTTTCGAATGTAACCGTTAAATTTGCTCTTTAACCTTTATTTGATGTTGCTTCGAGTGGGAAATCTTCAATTATATACCAATAAAAATCACGGGATTTTTAATTGTTTTTTTTCTCGTCTGCATTTCAGCAAAACGCAATTCGAACCAGTATGTGTCAGTACAAGATAGCGCGACCGATGAGAAAACATTCGCACTGAAAGGAATTGGCTTTCAGCCCAGTCTCGAAAACCTGAAGGCTAAGTTTTATTTCGTTCGATTTGATTTATTATTTAAATTCCATATTTCATTTATTGTTTCGCAAATTCCAGATTCGTTACGTGTTTCGAATGTGTAAATTTATGACAAATAAAGTGTACGGAAAGTCATTGGTCACACAGCAGAAGAAAAAAATAGGTAAGCATTTATGCCTCGCACCGAAACGAATATCTTTTGAACGTATCATATTGCACTTAGCAAAAGGCTGATCGTAAATCTAATTAAAAATTGGTATTAAACGGCGACTTGCAGCTGCATATTATTCATTTCAAGTTCTTGTTGAACTTATTTTGTGCCGTACACACAAAAACAGAGCGAAAAAACAGACACTTCAATTTGTTTATCAGCACTGTAAACCGGTCTAAGTCTAATAACTACTTCAATGTATTTACTTGGTCATTCAATACGTTCAACCGGATTTTGTCCAGTCAAACTTATTTCAAATGTGTGTATATTTTCAAGAACATTTCACAGCAAAATAAACGAACACTTTGTGCCCATTTCCTCTAATATTATGATAATTTCAAACAACAAAGTTGCAATTTTATACGGATACTTATGTTGTTTATCAAATTTTCCACTACAAAATGGCGAATATAATGCGCATCAGAATGATGGATTATCATTTAACAAAATAAGTTATTACGTATTAATATTGATTTTAATATCTCCTCGACATCACAACATATCTACTTTGATATGCTGTGAATGTTTCATTTCGAACCCCATTTTTTCCCTCTTTCGGTATCCTTGTGGTGTGGCCTGTCTCAATTCCAAGTTGACGGACATTGTAGAAAATGGAAAATAGACTTTTGGGATCGAAACGTTCCGACAGCAAAAAGCAATATTGATTAATGGATTCTTATTGGCCATGAGCGACAGGCAGCAAATATACTTTCTCTCTATCCATATATTTATGCAGCATAATCCATTGGACCGTTCATCATGTGTGCTGTTGTGTGTTGCTTTTGTGGGGCATATAATGTTTTTGATTTTGCGTGATTCAACTATTAGCATTTGGATACGCTTGTTGGCATTTTTTTCTCTCTATTCCCCATCATAGCACTATGATGAATTTTTCCTTCATCGAACATTTTCAACCGAATCGATTCGGCTCAATTTCCTTGCTCTGGTTTCGATTCCCTTTTTTATACTTAGTATAATCGAAATAAACGAATTCGGACACATTTCGAAAGTATGCTCTTGCTCAGTCAGAATTTTTTCGCTCCTGATTTGAACGAGCAATCCGCATATATGCGTGTGCTGTTTTCCCCGATGAAACAATAACAATGACGGCACAGGAAGTAGTTTTCCTTTTTGTATACATTTATTCACGGAATCTAATCTTCTAAATTGACGTCGATTCAATTTCGTAATAAGGTTTTCTTGTTTTGCCCATTTTTATTTATATAACTTTTTCTTTTGTTTTTCGTTCGGTAGACACATTTTGCCACGCGGAGCCGCAATGAGTGAGTGAAGCGATGAGGAGAGGACAGCACAAATATAATACATAGACAGAAAGCCGAGTTAAATCCTACGATTTGCGCTTTTGACATAATTTTATTGATTTTTTTTGGTTTGCTTCATATTTTCTACTGGGAAATTGGAATTGATTCGGCAGTTGAATTGGCCAAAGACACAGAGAGAGAGAGGCTCTGTCCATGCGGAATCGATTCGTGGGCCAAGCAAAAGAAAAGTTATAATAATTTTTTGGTTGGAATTCATATAGAAGACATTATTATTGGTTAATCAAGTGTAAATAAATTTGATTTATGTTTATGCGATGCCGAGTAATTGAAAATGGAGACAGACCAAGATGATTTTAATTTATGTAAATATTCAAGCAGAATTTTTTTTTGCTCGTCACATGATAAATGTATTTGTATTTCGAATCGGACATAATAAGCCGAGTCAATGAACAGTTTCTTTCTCCTCTTTAATTCAATCAGAAATATTATTCCCTCTTGAATTTGATCGAAGAAAATGAAACAAAGAAATTCGCATCTTCATCAGCGTCGACTCGATGAGCTCATGTGGCAAATTGGAAATTTATTTCAAAAGTAGCGCATTATAACTCAAAAATCGCATAAATTCCATTGATAATCCCGATTGCGAGCGGTGCATGATTAATTTCCGTGAAAGAATTTCCAAGCCGTGGCTCCAACGGAAAAACCAAAATATATTTTTTTCATTTCCTACTACTCAAGTGACATGTGTATCAAAAAAGCTTTGTTTATTCATCCGTTTCGCACGCAACACAGTTACCTTTGAGACATTCTTCTGATGCTGCTGCTACTACAAGTGGGCGTCGAGCATTTCCAATTTGTTTTTCTTTCTGCGAGCATACCAAAAATCCAAACACGGCGTCAAACAATATTTTGGCTTGTTCCAAACTAATCCCATGTTGTATCGCCAGACGTATGCACTTGTCGCATGTCATCAAATGGATACGGTGCGATTACGATTTGATCGGTCGAAATGAAAAATTGAAAATGCGCTGCGTGATCAGTGCGACGAGTGTAGACATGTATCGCATTAAAAATAGATGCGCTGCGTACAATTTGGTCTGATGCAAGATTTTAATCGGCAAAAATCCTAGTTAATGGCACCATCAACATTCTAATATAATTTATTGCTCGCTCCGTTTCCATGTCGATCTTGTTTTGAGTTTGATCGCATGCTCGACGGCGGAAAAATGTAAACAAGCGATTAACAGAATCTTCGATTCGATCTTGCTTTTTTTTCGTCACCATCGAATGTTATCTTTGCTCTGTCGCGTATATGTGAGTGTGTAATGTGTACAGAATGAATGTATTCGCGTCACGTATGAAACGCGCATTCCAAAACACATCGACTAATTGGAAACGCTGAAATTTGAATTCAATCAAATGACATAAACAATTGCAAATGATAAAATCGAACGAAAAAAAACCCTTGCTCTCGCTTCGCTTATATATCGCTCGCATTTGACTTAATATAGTTAATATAATTGCCATAAAATCACACATCGTAAACCGAAGACAACGTCATTATTGTGTGTTCTTTGTGCCGTTTGCTACAATGCGAAAATTCAATTTATTTACTGGCTGCCGGTTTGATGAATGTGCGCGCGTATGCGCTGGAATGCATTCAATGAATGCGTGCTGAGCACAAGAGACGCTGAAACAGCGCGCCACTTGCAATAAAATTTAGTGCTTCGTTGACACAGAGCAGGTGGTATCGCGATGTGAAATGGTGAATTAAAATGAAAAACAAAAAAAACCTGAAGTCAACATAAAAACGCATCGTTCACGAGCCGCGTCACATTACTTGTGTAAACTGAAGGACGGAAATTGATGTGGCTCGTCACTGGTCATTCTTTATTTGCATTCTTTTCCATTTCGTGCACGATGACAGCCGTAAGTGTGAAAATGGCTTAGGTCAATAAACAAAATGTTCTTTGATTCATACATTCATAGTAGGAATGACCAGCTCA